ATATATATATATATATATAATTTTTTTTAAAAGATGGGGTTTCACCATGTTGGCCAGGTTGGTCTTGAACTCCCAACCTCAGGTGATCCACCCACCTTGGCCTCCAAAGGGCTTGGATTACAGGTGTGAGCCACCACACCCGGCCTATAAAAATATTTTAAGTTATGTTAAAAAATAGCACAATAATAACCTGTATGTCTGAAGAACTTCTGAGATAAAGTCTAATTTACATAACACTAACATGGAAGCAGATAATTCTACCAGGCATAAGAGACATTTGCATGTGGCAAAGTAACAGTTTATAACTCATCTCACCTACCAGCTTTGAAATTGTGTCATTCTAGATAAACTATTTGGAAGAGTCAACATTATTTCCATTTTGCCCATATAAACTATAATTTTTATATTTTGCCTAATTCAATTCACATAAAATGCAACTTGCAGTGTAGTTTGATGAAAGCTTGGAAAGAAGAGTCAGATTACAAAGGCCTTGTGTAAGCAAGCTAAAGAGTTTGAACTTTTTTTTTCCTGAAAAAAAGTAATGACTTAAATAGGAGAAAGATATGGTCAAATTTGTGTTTTAAAAAGCTCACTCTAGAAGCAATGGAGAGAATGGATCTGGGCCAGGCATGGTGGCTCACGCCTGTAACCCCAGCACTTTGGGAGGCCGAGGCAGGTGGATTGCTTGAGATTAGGAGTTTGAGGCCAGCCTGACCAACATGGTGAAACCGCGTCACTACTAAAAATGCAAAATTAGCCAGGCGTGGTGGCACACACCTGTAGTCCCAGCTACTCAGGAGGCTGAAGCAGGAGAATTGCTTGAACCTGGAAGGTGGAGGTTGCAGTGAGCCAAGATCACACCATTGCACTCCAGTTTGGGCAACAAGACGAAACTCTGTGTCAACAATAACAACAACAACAACAACAACAAAATGGATCTGATTGAACAAAATTGGACAGAGGTCAAACAACAACTACAGAAGCAATTTTAATAGTTACAAGTTTTTTTTTTTTTAATTGACGGAGTCTTGCTCTGTCACCAGGCTGGAATGCAGTGGCGCAATCTTGGCTCACTGCAACCTCCACCTCCTGGGTTCAAGCGATTCTTCCGCCTCAGCCTCCTGAGTAGCTGGGACCACAGG